AACGAGACTGAAACGATCAGGCTTGAAACTTTTCTGGTTGTTTTTCCGCTTGTTCATAGTAGACGTCTTACAAGACTTGTAGAAGTTGTCTTTTCGTCTGCTTTGTCTTCTAATAATTCTAAGATTATCGTATCATAGGGATAATGATTTTTTGCTTGACGTTGTTTTCTTCATTTTTTAATTTTGTACTTTATTCTTTAGATATTTTTATGTCTGACCTCATTCCACGCCCATTTTTTAAACCGTAAGATGCCGCTAGCTCGGCTCGCCGATCCGTGGAGTATAGAAATGCCCGTTACCGCTGCCGCTGCCGCCACCACCACCACCACAGTCGTCAACCATGGCGATGCAGCGGTACGTACGATCGCGGGGGACGGTGTACGTTGTCCTCCACGCAGTCGCTTCGTTGTCTTCGTTTTCACCTTTTACTTTACTTTGCTTTACAGATGGCCAGTGTTAGCGAACCGATCGAAGACGCGGCAACGGACGAACCAGAAGATGGAAACAATCGGGTAAACCTGTTTTCTGTGAAATTTTATTCTCATGAATCGCTGAGCACTTGATTGAAGGAAGACCTTTAGAGTGTTTAACATTATGAATCCATACGAATATTATGGGGCAATACTGTTGAGTAAGATAGCTTCGAGATTGTTTAGTTCGAATCATCTTACTCAGTCGAAAAATTCAGTATATGAATTTCTGCCTATTCTGTCATTCGCAATGCGTCTATCTGCGGTAAATGGACCACCAAGCCTACGTGAAAAGTTGCAGGAGGTTGTCGAGGAATCGAATTCATGCTCTACCTATTTGACTTGGTTGCTTGATCTGAAAATCAGCATCAAACTTGACAACACAGCTGGAGGCGCCGAAATGAGCTTAAGATTTTGTTTTTATAGTACACCATTTCTCGCCATCCGTAATGACGATCGGACACTTTCCGTAGTGAGTTTCGTAGTAGACATCTGGTTGAACATGCGTGCATGTCGTCGTAGTTAAACGAATGGATGAATAGTTTGCCGCTTGAATGGTATCGCCAAAGAATTCCATTTCTCAACAAAACACAAAATACATGTGAATTATGCACATATCACACAAAAAACAGAATCGGACTTGAGCACTTCGAGTTAACAAAAATCTTTGAACCCAGGAAAGTACGAAATAAAAATGATGCAGACAAACAGCGAAAGACTGTGTCAAATTAAGCAAATTCAGTTGATGTTGGTTAACGTCAATGACACTTCGTAGAATACGTATTGACGCTGGGATTATAGATCTTCGATGCAGTTGTGTTGCAGTGCGATTGCAAATATGAATGAGTCATTTATTGATTCATTCAATTTCATTTCCTGATTTTTCCATCAGTGATTCTTGTTCTCTGCCACCGGGATAGACTTGCTTCTTTTTTATGCACTTGTTTTAATTTTGGTTTTGATTTAAATTTAAGCATGTAATTTTTGTAGTCCTGACCGGCTTGCAATAAATATGCTGTTCTCACATGGTGACCTGGGTTGACTGTAATAATTCTGCTATGGTTCTGTTTTGCGTTTATGTATATTTTGCCGTTTTATCTCCTCCTCATCTTCCGTTTTCTGGCGTGTTTATATTAACTGGAATCTGTTGTTTAAGTCAACTCCTTCCACATTTTTCAGTCTTCGCTCGAATCTTCGTCGTATCGGTCTTGTCCTTTTTTCTTCCCTGGCGGTATTAGTATTTGAACCACATTTCCAGCGTAGTTTTCACGTAACTGGACCAACCGAGTGTGCTTACGATCATCTTTTCTGTAAGTTGTGCTCATCAAAGCGCCTCTTAGGAAGGTGTTCCGATTGTGGCTCCTTTTCTCCATGCCAAACATCCGTAGAGGATTCGCATTTCTATAAAATTAAACTGTTGCTCATTATCACCTCTTGTGATTGATCTGTACTATATATCTTTATCCAAAAGTGACTTACTTTCGTGATTCCGTTTATGCAGTAAAACTGCGCTCTTCAAGCAGCACCAGAAGCTCTATCCAACTGAACCATCTAATGCGTGATCTGACCTTCGGCTGTCATTCGAAAGAAGTTTACTCTGCGAATCTCCTATTGTATCTTGACTATTTGCTCAGAAAGTATTTGGTCACTTGACTTGCAGCAGGTGCGGCTCGACTGGACTTTTCTGAGCTGTTGTCGGTCTCTCACACACATCTGACTTGATCTGAAGGCTACTTCGGTGTCTGTTGCTGTTCGTCGATGCCCTTGATCATGGCGTTCCTTGTCACACACACACACACACACACACACACACACACACACACACACAC